GTAGCATGAGGGAAACTAGAAGAGAATGTGATGGGTTATGGGGTTTAAGTACTTATTGATATTGCTTTTGGTTTCTTAAGCAGGTATTAACAGAGAATGCTCAAATTGATAAAATGATCTGTGCATATTGTTAAAAGAATGCTCTCTTTCAGGCTTCTCAAGGAAATGAAACAGATGGAGCACATAGTGGTGGTCAGAACCAAGCAGGAAATCGGACACAGTCTACACAATCATTTCCTGGTCAAACATTTCAATTTTCTCCTCAAGTTATGCCAATTCCTTTGACTCCGGCAGCAGTACCTGTTCCTTCACTTAATTCGGTAGTACAAATGAACTTATACCTTTTTTTTGCAGATTATAATTTGATTGTTGTCTAATTCCATCATTTTCTTTTGCTTCAGCCAATTCCTGATGCTTTAAATACTCTCTCCGAGTTTATGAACTGCATGGAGGCACATTCTCCAAATGGTGATAGCACGAAAGGCATTAACTGCACATTTTGTTTGAAAATAGTTACAGTGACTAACTGCTGCTGCATTATGTAGGCTATCAGCTGCACTCATCTGCAACTAATAGAGGAGACCAACCAAGGGTAGAATTACCATCTGACGCACGGGGCTTGCCAACACCTGAAGCATTGAGCATTGTAATGCGCCATGCAGAACGGCTTCTCAGCAGTCATGCTATTGCTGCATTGTCTGTAAGTGTCTTGCTTTAGCATGTTTTCTGTGTTTACTGTCATCTGGAATGTTTGAGGCTTTTCTTGTTAAGTTTTTAAATTGATGCTGGGATTAATATTATACCTGGAATACTAGTTTCTATGTAGAATATTTGATCCTTATATCTGTTTTACGCTGAATCTATGTGAACTCCCTTTGACATGTGCATTCTGATTTGATTTCCCAATCTGCCCTCACTCTGTCCAAGCAGGTATCTGGGAGAAAGATTATTGGATTCTGAATTATCATGTGCTTGCTTCCATCTGGAGGAAATGTTCTTGATTTATGATATATACTAACATTTTAGGACCTGTAAAATTAATAGGCTTTCTCTGAGTGAAACTTTTGTATGTTATAAAATTCATTAATACATGTAGATTGTGGAAGCTAAATGAGACATTCTCTCCATTAGATAATTTGAAAATTCATAATACAAGTTTTAGTGGCTTTAATGAAGTGGCAATATATATGTATACAAACATTTGAGGATTCTTTATACTGAATCAATTTCACATTCCTTTTCTTTTCTCCCTTTCAAGTTTGAAAATTTTGTTATCTGATTCTGTGTGTATTTTTAATTTGCTGCAACTTTTGTAGCATATTGCAGGACGTTTGGAGCAAGAGAGGGATTCTCCCGATCCTGCGGTGAGGGGGCAAATTCAAACAGAATCAGTGCAAGTAGGCCTTGCAATGCAGCATTTAGGTGCCCTTCTTTTAGAGCTTGGTCGAACCATATTGACGCTGCGTATGGGACATTCTCCTGTATGGTTCAAAAATCTCTTATATCCTTATTCTCTATTGTCATTGAATAAGAAAATGTCAGTAAAAATGTTTCATGCAATTCACAGGCAGAATCTTCAGTCAATGCTGGACCAGCAGTTTATATATCTCCTTCAGGGCCAAATCCTATAATGGTTCAGGTGTGCTCAAAATTTGTTTGCATTATCAACTTGGTCAAATATTAGCAAAATCCCTGCTAACATATCCTATTGATTTATGATAATATTTAAACATCCTTGTTATAAGAGTCTCTTGTTATATGCACTGGACATTTTGCATGAGGTTTGATACTGTTGGGTCCCTAGCCGGAAACATTTATGTCATTAAATTGCTTTGATTAATTAGAATTAACATTTTGAACTCCCTTTATAATCCTATTAATCATGCATGCACTGATTTGTTTATTTGCAGCCTTTTCCCCTTCAAACCAGCTCCCTCTTCAGTGGTTCTCATTCTCCATCAAATCCTCCAACTCTAGGTCCTGTTGGTATTGGAAATGCTCCAAGGCACATCAACATTCATATACATGCTGGTGGGTAAAATCTGCTTCAGCCCTGACCGTAATTTTCTTTTTCTTTAAACTGAAGCAAAGTGACTTTTGTTTAATGATTATCATAAATTATCAGGCACCGCACTGGCACCCATCGTTTCTGCAGTTGGTAACAGAACAAGCAATGGGGAAGGGGTGCAAGGAGAACGTGGGAATAATGCTGGTTCTGGTTCAATGCGGGTTCTTCCTGTGCGAAATGTTCTTGCTGCTGCTGTCCCAGCACGTCTTGCTGGTGCAGTGTCCAGTGCAGCACAATCTGCACCAACTGACTCATCAATATCCTCTATTGTTGCTGAAGTCAATTCGCGACTTAGAAACTTTGTCAGTAACTTGCAAGGAGAAAACCAGGTTGCGTCAGGTAGCTGGCCATTAATTGTTTTGAGATGGTGATAACTACAAGGTTACTTGTTCATGTGGTATCTCTGGTTTTTAAGGTCAAAGCAGAATCTGATGAGAAAATCATGTGTTACATCTGGTGCAGGTAATGGACAACCCGGTAATGTGGCTGTTAGTGAAGCTGGGGATTCTGATGTTGCATTACCAGCAGACATTCTTCAAACTGAAGAACAGAAGGTATGCTTTGTTTATATTATAATGATCTTATTAGTAATTATCTGTTTATAATCTCTGATCAGTACTCTGTTACTATAATAATCAGTCACAACCTCAACATGCTGAAGGAAGTAACAATATCATTGAGAGTGGTGTGAGTTCAAAGGATGTATCAACTGGCACAGTGGAACGCCCTCCAAGTTCAAGTGGAGAACTCTTGGTAAAGTCAGAAGACCCTTCAGGAAGTGTTCTGAGATCCAACGAAAATAATGCCAAAGCTGTTCCACTTGGATTGGGGTTGGGGGGTTTGGAACGTAAGGTGTGATGATCAAGTTTTACTTTATTCTAAATTATCTTATTTACGTTAGTTGAAAATCATCATTTGATTTGCATCTACTAGAACAATATGGTAAAACAATGTTGGCTTATAGTTTCTGAAGTTTTGTGGTTTCTCATAATTTTTAATCCAACTTTCTATATCATCATTGTGGTCAGACGCGTGTCAAGCAGACAAAATCATCTGTTAGTACTGGTGATAGTGGAACAACTAGTTCTTCTCTTGATCAGAACTTGAGTGCTAGAACAACTGGCCAACAGATTTTGCAATCACTTGTATCTCAGAGCTCTTCTGTGAATAGGGTGGAACCTGATGCGTCCCCAAGTAATCCAGGTGTTCAGAGTAGTAGACTGTCAGGAGGGCAAGGTTCTGATGATCAATTAGATGCTGCTAATGCTGTCTCTCAAGTTCTTCAAAGCCCTGCATTAAATGGCTTATTGGCCGGGGTTTCAGAGCGGACTGGTGTTGGTTCACCAGATGTTTTTAGGAATATGTTGCAGCAACTCACTCAAAGCCCCCAAATCATGAACACTGTCAGTCAACTAGCTCAGCAGGTTGATAGCCACGATATTGGGAACATGTTTTCAGGATTGGGAGGAGGCCAAGGTGGTGGAATTGATCTGTCACGGATGGTCCAACAAATGATGCCTATCGTTTCTCAGGCTCTTAGTCGTGGAGCATCTGCACCTCCGCCATTCCCTGCTGTAGAACCTCAATCACAGGGCCAGCTTGATGGGAGGAAGTCAAGTGCAGCTGACAAACCTTGTGGCCGTGATTTTCAGGTTTTTTCTTTCGTATAATTGAGATTTTAATTTTCTCTTTTTTGTCATAAAATAGTTAATTGGTATGTAATGGTAAGAGATACTTACATGGGGCCTGCTGTCCTATCTGCCATTTCTTTTAGGATGATATTCAACAAATGACTCAGAGGATTGAGCAATCTAATTCGCCTGGCAATGTCTTTCACACTGTTGCTGAAAGCGCAGTTCGGGTATACGGCAATGGAAGGAATGCTGAAGAACTTCTGAATGAGTTGTGTGGTAATGAGGGTCTTGCCAAGGTAAGTTCCCCGGCCATGGGACTGCCTTTTGATGTCTAATTGTATTTCCAACCGGTTAAAGTCACTTGTGGTTAAAAATTTGCTTTCGTTTTGGGGAGAAAGAACGGGGATTAAGCAAAGTTGTCCTTTTAATTTGCCTAACTTTTCGTGGTGATATTTGCATGGAAACTCATTAAGATTTTCTGGCGTGTTCAGGAATACACAGAGATGCTACAGCGGGACATACATCAAAGATTTCAGGACAAATCTGAGGAGGACGAGAGCTAGTTCCTCAATTTTGAGAAGTCTTGTCCTGTGCTGGGGGGGCTTTTTCTTTGTTTTTATCGGTTCATACTCACAATCCATGTATAAACGTTAGGCTTATGGGGGCTTTGTTTGAGATACTCTTTTAAGTTATATTTGATCTGTTTGTTTCAAATGTGCTTCTTTGGTTAATTGTGCATCAAATTGGAATTATGGTGATATCAATATGTTCTGTTCCCTGTCAGAATGATACAAATTCCAGTAGCTCTTCTTTGAGGCTGGTGGCCTAGGGATCTTGTTTTATTTTGAACGATTACTCATTAAGGAAGGAAATGGAAAGAAGGACAATGACCAGCCAATTATACCAATTCCTCGGTTTTTTTTTACTTTTAATTGATAAAATGGGTGAAAAAACTGTACCCTTACTTACTATTACTACTACTACTATTTGCTATTGCTTTAAAATAAATCTGAAAAACAATCCATGTAAATAATCTGCAGTTCTTTCTTAAATTGTTGCTACTAGCAGATATTTTCATGGGTACTATGAAAGAAATAATAATTTATTGTATTCTTTTTATCTCTAAATAACTTTTAACAAATTTTTATCGAGAATTAAGATAAATATTTAATTTTTAAAATTTATTTAAAATTTGATTTTTTTTATAATTTAAAAATTAAAATTTTTAACATAGAAAAGTATAAATATACTTTGGATTTAAAAAAACCTTAATTTCGTAGTAATACGGTTTTACCCAAACGAAGCTCGGGTTTTTGGGGTAAAAAACAGGCTTCGTTTGGCGGCTGGGTTAGACGCTTAGCCCCGCCTGAAACTTGTGCCTGCTGGTTCTGAAAAGCACTCAAACCGTCAGTTGTTCCTCTCAAACGCAGTTCTCCGGACACATCTGGCGTTCATGGAAGCCGACGCAAAGCCAAAGAAATCTGGACCTCGACTTTGTTGCATTTGTACCAAGCGAAGAGCTGTCCTCAAAAGACCCAAAACCCTAGAGCAGGTAACTTCTTCACTTTCCTTTGTTATAGTAATTCAACTTCAATCTGGCAACAGTTGGGGACCGCTGGGTTTATTTCAATATCTTTTATTTTCTTGGATTTTGGGATTCTTTTTGTCATTATTACTAAAATTATGCGCTTGGTTAAAAGATATGCAGGGAGTGTTTTTACGAGGTGTTTGAGGAGGAAATTCACCAGGTAATTGTGGAGAACCAGCTGTTCAAGCCCGGCGAGCGTATTGCTATTGGCGCCTCTGGAGGGAAAGGTTAATCCCTTTTGTCTCTTCTTTAAGCTGATTTTAAGCTCCATAGGTTGTCATAGCCAAGCTTTATAATTCTTCTTGTCCTTCTAACATCTGCTGCTGGGGTTGTTGCAGATTCGACAGTCCTTGCTTACGTGTTATCAGAACTGAATCGACGACATAATTATGGTCTTGATCTTTTTCTTTTGTCTGTTGATGAGGGCATTACGGGGTACAGGGATGACTCGCTTGAAACCGTCAAAAGGAATGAACTTCAGGTCAGTTTTTTCCATCAACACTGATATTCTTGAAGCTCTTAAGAGTAGATAGATTTTTAGTTGTTGCTCTCCAATCTCCATGCTAACTGTTTCATGACTGTTTGCTTTTGGTTATTTTTGAAACTTTTTCCTCTCAATTTTCTGATACTATAATTCTTTCTTATCATGGTTTTGCAGTACGGGCTGCCTCTAAAAATTGTGTCTTACAAGGATTTGTATGGATGGACAATGGATGAAATAGTAAAGATGATTGGCTTAAAAAATAATTGCACGTTTTGTGGGGTTTTTCGTCGCCAGGTAGAGTTATTGTGCTCTAAAAAGGCCTGAAATCATAACACATGTTCTTGCTGGTTTCACTATATCTGCTCCTTCTGATAGGCTGTACATATGTACATACTGAAACTATGTTCTTAGACCTAGTACCTCCATATCTGGATTACAAGACAGGGCATTCATTTCTGCAGATAGTGTTTCTGTCAAAACCCTTTTGTTATGACTCATAGCAACTCATTATACCCAGCCAAGCACCATAGATTTGATCTACTCCTCATGTTAAACATGGTTTTTTTTTATAAATTTGTATATTTATGGTGAGAATTCCACCTGTCTGTTTCTTTCTTCCCTTCAAGTATGATTTTTACCTGCATTGTGACTGGTTTCTTTTGTCTTCGGTTCTTCTTCTTCCAGGAGAATTGGCTTATGGTCCAAATTGCTGATTTGAACTTTTTCCTTATAATGCATTTTAAAGCAACTAAAACCATCAACTCCAATAAGGGTTGTTTATTGACATTTTTAGATTCTATTGATGTCCATACACCCATTCTGGTGTAGCTGTTCATGACTTTGTAACACTTTCATTTGTGTTGTGGTTTAAGATGGAATGACTTGTTTGACTCTCTTTTTGTTAAAGGCCCTTGATCGAGGTGCTGCATTGCTGAAAGTTGACAAAGTTGCCACTGGACATAATGCAGATGATATTGCTGAAACTGTCCTTTTGAACATATTACGAGGTGATATTGCTAGGTAATGGATTGACTGTGCGTTTAGTTTCCTTTTGACTCTCTCGATTGTTAACCTAAGATAATGGCTTTTACTTGTTCAGATTGGGTAGATGCACTTCAATTACTACTGGTGAAGATGGACCTATTCCAAGATGCAAACCTTTTAAGTATACATATGAGAAGGAGATCGTGATATATCCTTGAAATGCTCACTGTTCTGAAAGTTTTATTTGTGAATTTATTAATATTAGTTTCTCATTTCACTTAGTTGCCAAAACCTTAACAAGATATCCACGTATGCTTATTTCAAGAAGCTAGACTACTTCTCCACTGAATGTAATTGATATTTACCATTCCCTTTCGTGCTTTTTTCATTTGGAATTTGACTGATTGAGTTGTCAAGCCCCTTTATTAAGGTTTATATTTAGATGGTATTGCATGTACCCTAATGTCTCTGACTCTAATTAGAGGTGGTGTTCTTTAAATTTTAGGTATTTATTCTCCAAATGCATATCGTGGTTTTGCTCGTGAGTTCATAAAAGATTTGGAGAGAATCAGGTTAATACCTTCTTGTTTCCACTCTATCCTCACATCTGTCAAGTTTGAAAATTCTGTAGTTGTTTACTATTCCGGTTACCATTGCAGGCCTAGGGCTATACTTGACATCATTACATCAGGGGAGAATTTTAGAATTTCCACTTCCACCAAAATGCCAGAGCAGGGAACCTGTGAACGATGTGGTTATATTTCCAGCCAGGTGGCAATTGCTTTTACCTTACTCGATACCTTAGATATGTGTGAAACTTTAGCATGCATTTGATGTGCCATATTTATGATAAATTTCTGCCTTCTATTGGAGTATTTTGAGCACTAACAGCTGAATGCAATACGGTTAAAAACATGGTATACAGAAATGGTGTAAAGCTTGTGTCTTGTTGGAGGGTCTGAATCGGGGTTTGCCTAAGCTTGGCATCGGTCGTAGTCGAGGCCTAAACAATGACATTAAGAAAGATACGAAGCAAGCTGGTGGAACAAAAAGTATTGAGAGCAAGCAATGTGGAAGTTTGGACTTCTGATGCAGAGTGTAGGCATGACTTGAAAGGTTTGGTTTGTTCAGAGAATTAACTCATAGTTGTCAGATTGGCCACCCATGCTCTCTTCTCTTCCTTCCTTGAGCTACTAAGCGAATCATTAGGCAAAGTGCAAACAATGCAGTTCATTGCACCCTTTGGGGTGCTGGAAAGAATCATGGAACTGGAAGAGCCGGTGTTCAATCATATTTTTTGACGAGGGACAGAGGATTGATTATTAATTATTATGTAGCATTGAATAGAAGAGTAGTCTATTAAGAGATTTGGAAAAAGAACTCTTATGCATTTGGAACTCATTAAATAATAGGAGAAAGCAGCGCTGCTGTGATGTAGACAACCAAGACAAAGGCAGGCCCTGCAACTCAATTTTCTGCCTTTGGATGCTATTCATTTTTCTGTAATTTTACAAAATTTTATATAGAGATATAAGTTACATTATGGGAGAGTTTGTAATTCTTGGAATAACTTTCAATTGTACCATGTGATTGCTTTTCCCATGATTTAATTTCCGTACAGATCAGAACTTAAGCAGAAGAGAAAAGCACCAAAACGAACTGTTCAATTGTCATGCTCTGACCTTCAATTTTATTGAAAGAAAAAAGGATACTGCTATTATCTTAAAGCACAGTCCTTTCATTTTTTGCTTTTCCGATCTTTTATTCTTTAATTCATATTTCATTTTATTATGTGCATGGATGATGGATTTGTATTTTCGGTTTTAGATAGTATTTCGTAATTTTATTCCAATTTTATTAAAATTAAGATGCTTTGTTATTTTAACGGATTCGAGATCGAGTATTAAGAACCCTTTATGTCTCTAAATAATACAAAATATTTGTATCATTGCAAGAGAATGGGGGCCCAATAAGAATAATATAGGCTCGAAGGGCCCAAAGCTAAGGGGCATTAAAGCCTATAAGACTTAAATAAAACGCTGAACAAGTTGCCGTTTTGTTTAACAGGCAGTTACTAGCTACTAGTCGAGGGCAAACATTTCCCGGTAAGAGATTTGGGGTTGCTTTCACCATCGGTATCGCTCATGCCGTCGCCGGCACCTCCAGACTCGGCCATGACCGGCCAAAACGCTAGAAAGTCGCTCGGGTTTATCTCAAACGCAATGAAACACAGACACAACTTCATTCAGTTCTTCGCAATGACCGGGATTTTGCTGCTGAGCGTCCGATCGTTGGGCCAGAAGTACCGCATCCACGATCTCCAAGAGGACACCACCGCTCTCAAGCAAGAGCAAGAATCTCTCACGGACCGCATGAAGAACATAAAACGTGGACTCCTCGACGAGGCCTCTCTCGAGCCCACTGGTCTCTTCGCCTCTCGCCTCCGCCTCCTCTTCGGCGACGATCATTAGACTCTACTGAACCCGCTGGCTAGTGAGCTTCTATAAAAAATATATCTTTGTTTTGTCAATTTTACGTTCAAAGAATGGAATGGAATTTTCAGGTGTTTATGTTCTGCTCTTTGGGTTAATAATATAATTTGGAATCTTTCTTGAATCTGGGAAATGCTCTATCTTTGTTTATGCTTTTTGTTGGATTACATGATGTGAACGAGAATTGATTAAATTAGAGCAAGTTTTCTTGCTAGAGTTTGTGCTGGTATGTTTTACCAATCGAATTTAGTGGTAAGGGTTTATCTAGGTGCCATTAAGTTGAATAGAAGCGTTGTTCATGTCTGTTTATATTTTTGGCACTTGAATATAATCTGTCATGTTTTGCTTCGACTATAAGCAAGGAGGCGATGTTTTAAAAGTTGCAGTAGTTGAAATGATGAGGTTTGGAAACATTTTCGTTGTTTAATGTCAATAAAATGCTTCAAAGGAACATAGGATCGTAGTGATGTAGATTATCATTGAGCTACTCAGCAACAAAATCTGTGTTTTTCTATGTGTACAAGTGTCAATTGTTCTATGTGATGGGGAAGTAGGTCTAACATTTTAGCTTCTAATTCTTATTGATCCTTGTCTTCCCTTTGGCTGCTTTGAGCTAAGAGTGGACGAAGTTACTGGGGGCCAAAAATGTCTTTCTCAATAGAACGCTTTGCGAGTTAGTTAACTGATGAGCGCCCTTGATTTTGTCTTATTAGGAGTTGGATCTCCTATGGGCAAGGCTCTTAAATGGAGTTTGGTCCCTTGTAGACTAATAGCCCACTCTTTTTCTCTTTCCTTTTTATTTCTTAATTTTTCTTCTTGTTGGGGAAGGAGTAAACTTATTGTCTTTCTGTCGTATTAATGATGATGGTGTAGTGTGTTAATCTGGCAAGATGACACGTTTGCTTCATATCCAAGCACAGATGCGCTTAATATGTGAAAGTGCTGTTAGAAGCCAACTTGCTCAATCACTCATTGCTCTTTCTGTGAATTCAAGCCTTATGGAGGATACCATCTGAAAACTCACTTGGACTGTAAGTGTGAATTGGAGCATTAGATCGAGAGGGCAATCTACCATGTGCAACATCATCTCAACTGTCAAACAAGTTGGGACCTCCATGCCTAAACAGCTATCTGCCATACTCAGGCTTTTACCTTCTTGGAGTGATTGAATAATTTGAGTTGCTTCCCAGCTACACTGACTCTTCTCTCTTGTTTTTAATTTTCTCGAGGAGGAATTAGGCAGGACTTTTCGGATGGTGTTTTGGTTGTTTAAGATAATGAAGGCATGCTATGGCTGGTTTTGTTCCAACCACGTTGATTATGATTGTAGATTAGGAGTGATGAATTTCATCTGTTTAGGTACTTATATAAGGTATGCATGGTGAGGATATTGAAACGTGGAGCTGGTGACAGTGTATTTCCAACGTGATAGAATTATAAACCATAAGCAGAAATGATATTTGAATACCAATTTTGGTGACGGTGTCGTATGGTGGAGAGATGGGGAGAATAAGGGGTTCTGGGCTTCTTAACCTTGCACACCATTTGCTGCAGAAAGTGTTGACATTTGTATCTGATGAGGGCTGCCATATATGCATGTGTGCAGTTGTCCTCTTGTCAATTTCATTGGCTTATCTTACTGTTATTTATTCTGCACAGCTAATGTTATCCTGCCTGTATGGTATGAACATAACATGACCACTAATTGCGGTTGATTGGTCCTACTAACCTGCAGAATTTCCTAATCAAATCTCAGAAAATATATCATTTAAAATTGCTATTTATCTAGGTTGGTTTTCATGTTGAAATCTGACGCGCGTAAACTGTGCATTATGCCGCGTTACAGATATCCATCCCAAAGGTCCTGTAATTTGGGTTCGTGCCAATCATGCAGACACTGCAATCATGGCACATGCTACT